GTGTTAGGACGGTCTTAAAGATAAAATAAGAAATATTGTCACTTAATTACAGATAACTTCAAACATGAGACATATACTGGAATAATTTATAAACGAGAAAAATGTACGTCTGTGATGCAAGAATACCCAAGTAAAAAACTACAGTACATAAAGACTAATACTATCATGAGTCAAATAATGGATTAAGAAGGTTAACATGTACAACAAAATGTCTGTATAACTATAATGGGAGGTGTTTACACTCTTCTTGGTTAACCCATTGAGTCCTGAAGGGTTAAATAATCATCATCAAAGGGTTAAATTAGGTTAAGATTAGTTTTAGGTCAAACTCAGAGCTTCATATTTCCATTTATATCGGGAGAAGGATAAAGAAAAGATAAAAATACTATATCTATTATGTTTCCGTCACAAATACATATTTTTGGAGAAATTTGGAATTTTCCGTGGCAGATGGGTTAATATTCGTCTTTCACCCATTACTCTTCTACTGTTTCTGACTACCTTAAATATTATTTTTCAATTATAAATTGATATTATGTGTCACGTTTTTGTGTAAATTCTTAGTTTATAATATATTTGCTCTCAAACATGAGGTATCTGCCGTTGTTGGTGGGTATTGTCGTCTGCTCTGTTTGTTTTGCAACTGACCCGCTTGTTAGCCCCAAGGCTTAGGAAGTTAGGTAAGGTTTGGTAAATTATATAGAAAAAAAAGTCTCATTTGCGACAGAAATGGTCTGTGAGTAATTTCCGTGTTCGACCTAAAACGAATCTTTACCTATATCATTATCAAAGGGTTAAATCATGTGGTCATGGTTACCACAATGATTTACATACAGGGGTTCCTAGTGACAGCACTAGGATCCCGCTTCCTCTATCAAGGAATAAACAATTGAAACTGAATGATTTACAAACAGACCAAGTAAACACAACAAATAACAACAACTAAGATGTTATTGTTGTATTACTATCATAATGATTGATTCTCATACCTTAAATATTAAAATAAATAACCAGATTAAAACAATAAAAGACGTTGTAAATAAATAAATAAAACATACAGTACCTAATATACACAGCACAAGAGATCAGCGGTGAACCACACCGAGCGTCCGAGCCTGTGTTATGGAAGGGGCTACTACAGACACACACAGGGGGTACAGTACTACAGCACAAAGACATTTACTACACTCATTAAGATTAAACAAAGGACACAAAATGAAGGGAAAATATGTGTGTAGCTACGGTATTTTTCCAAGACTTCGAGCTACCCTGCATTACTGGGAAATGGCTTGAATAAAAAAAATTCATATACTTTTATTTTTTACTCTTCGCCACTCGCACGAGCTCCGACAGGTAGCAGAGAGTAGCCTGAAGGCTATAACACCGCACAATAGTACAGTGTATTACACAGACGGTTCCGTAGAACCCATCAGTATGAAGGCAGGAGCAGCCTTCACCAAAGAAGAGGGTGACACGGCCCTTTGGAGAACTTCAGATGGATGCTCTACTTTGCAAGTTGAGCTAGCTGCCATACTTGGAGCCCTAAGACACGCTTCCATTAACAGTCAACAAAACGTTGTGATACACACTGACTCACGATGTGCTATTGAAGCACTACAATGCAGAGAGCCCAGAGACAACATTCTTCTCATAACATCCGTTGTTGGACTACTGCAAGGGCCAAGACAACAAGATCGGCAAGTTATCATTAACTGGCCCAGTCATATCGGAATCTCAGGGAATGAACGAGCTGATGATGTTGCCAAGGCTGCTCTAAGACAGCGAAACATATAGATGAACATCCCACCCATCCCCTTTAGAGGGGGGGGGCGACCCCCCGGGGCCCCGTGGGGCAGCACTAGACCCAGTGACCTCGGACACATTACCTGTTGACTGGTTGAGTCAAATCTTATATGATCTATACAAAATGTTGAGCTATCTGATGGTCAATTTTCATTTAACAAAATTATATGTAATAAGATTAAAAATATTGTACACCTTTCAGAGGTACACTGGTCAAATCAAAGCTGTGTCAATGGGGTAATTTAATCCCCAGGTAAGAAGGGTTGGTTCAGGCCAAGGTTGGGTCAGAAGATTATCCCCAGTTGACAGACGGCTTGGGTCAGTCAGCCTCCACGTGTATATATGTGTAATATTCTCTGTCTGTCTTTACCAATTGAGAAGGGCTCGTGATGAGCCGAAACTGTATTGGTATTTAAAATAAACTTCCATGAAGTGTGGTTTTTTACCTTCACGGCCCTGGGTACAGTACAGTACGGGGGTTATAGGCCATATTAAGGACGGACGTAAACCATTGGAGTTGCCAAGTTTTGTTTTGTTTCTATTAATCTATTTTCTTTCTTAAAGGGTGACGTCATTCGAGGATTGGGTATAAATAGCGGTGCCTTGTGTCTAGGAAGGCAGTACCCCCCTTGAGCGGGCGGGCGCCTGCTGTGTATGGCCACCACCCCAACCAATCACCCCTACTCAGCTAGGTGGACAGCCCACCTGCTATCACTCCCTCATACTTTACTTCTCGTTTCCATTCTTTCTTTCTCTCTCTCCTCTCCTCTCTCATGGCATCGTCATTTGCCACTTTACTTCATCATCATCATCATCATGGGAAGGCAGTAGTGCTCACGAGGACACAACAGGATTCACGTTGGCTGTGTTCTCTGGAAGGTGACGCTACCCTGACATCTACCTCAAGTGGTGTTTGTCTGTATGAGGGGCTGTCAGTATAGTCGAAACTAAGTGAAGTTTCTCTAAAATAAACTTGAGTATACTTTATTGACGTCTATTGTCACTAAAATCAATTAACTTCGACTAAACCCTCGACATTAAGATTATTTTAAATCTTGAATGCAATTAAATTATGTTATATTAAATGATTATAAGAGTTTTATATATAAAGTAAAATAAATGAGCTTATCGATGAAAAGCCGAGTCTCAAGAAATCCGAACTTAATTTACGAGAAGAGAAACGAATCGAATTAAGACGGAGTTGTTCACATCTTGCCCCTAGACCCGTTATTATAGTCACTAATATATCAAGAAGTGAAAGAAAACTTCACAAATGGACTGAATCAAAATATCGTAAGTGACTGAAATTCCAGCTTTTTTTTTTTAAACTCCAAAACCTTCCTGTCGTGGGTAACACTACTGCCCCATCAAACACAACCCTGACAGTTCTCCATGTTTTAAATCCAAAGTTTGTATAGATAACTGAAACTGTTACCGAGTATTGAAGTGATATACGGTAGTAAGAGGTTCAACCCCCCCCTCTAATAGGATCCAAATGGCAACTACTGGACTACCAAGTGTTATAAGAGACAGAAATAATAAAATTCATATCGTCTCCAATATGTTAAGGCATTTATACTCTTATTGACTTGAATGATTATTTACGAACACACACACACACACACACACACAGGTAATTCATTCTCACTTTGTTCTACGACGCCTAAAACTATCTGTTATCTTATCTTACAAGTTATACCCAACCTATCCTTTTATCACACATCCCCAGCAAGTCTTATCTCTCATATTTCTCTTATCTCTCATATTTCTCTTATCTCTCATATTTCTCTTATCTCTCATATTTCTCTTATCTCTTTTATCTCTTATCTCTCATATTTCTCTTATCTCTCATATTTCTCTTATCTCTTTTATCTCTTATCTCTCATATTTCTCGTATCTCCTGAGTGTGTTTGTATAACGATAAATCCCATGTATTCTGAAGGTGGATACAGCGATACAACTTTAAGTAATTGTTTATATATTAGAGAATTCCAAAGCTTGAGTGTAACTTGAGTGGTGTTTCATACTTACGAGTGAAAGTTGAGTGCTTAAATAATGCGCTGGTTTAATGTAATTTTCTACCTGATTGTTTGTTTGATGAATGAATAAATTTTTTTAGCCCCTTGTAAACACGAGTTATGAAAATTGGAGCCCATTGTCAACTTAAAAGCACCAAAATTTAGCAAAATTTTAACCCTAGTACAACATTTTAACCCAATATTAACCCTAGTACAACATTTTAACCCAATTTTAACCCGAGTAATATGTTTTAACCCAATTTTAACCCGAGTAACATGTTTTAACCCAATTTTAACCCGAGTAACATGTTTTAACCCAATTTTAACCCGAGTAACATGTTTTAACCCAATTTTAACCCGAGTAACATGTTTTAACCCAATTTTAACCCAATTTTAACCCGAGTAACATGTTTTAACCCAATTTTAACCCAAACACAAAATTTCAGCTTATGTTTAAACCCGCGTAAAAATATTAGGGAGTTTTTTATTGACATCAGGAGGCAGAGTGACTTTAATGATAAGAGCATATGACTTGAGTTTGAGTATGACATAAAACTTGAAGATGGAGTCATTTTGGAGGGTTAAGTGTGAGCTAAGACTCGAAGAGGAGGAGGGGGGGGGGTGGAGTCTTAATAACCACAGGACAATTCCCCTAAAAAGTAAACAAAAATAAATATATAATAAAAGTAAAAAAAACAGACTAAGAATGTTAATGGAAAAGGAAGAGAGAGAGAGATTGAATAACATAAAATTGTTTCCATATTGTCTTAATAACATTGTGGCTGTAATCACTGAAACGTCGAATCTTCTCATCTATCTCCGTCACTCTCCTCTTTCTCTTTCCCTTCACGTTCCCCCTTTGACACCCTTCCTTACTCTCCTTCCCTCTCTCTCTACGTCTAACACTCCCTCCCTTCCCACCCTACTCCACTCAGCTTCCTTCCCACTCCTACTCTCCCCACTCCTCCTTTCTTCTCGCAACCTTCCTGTTTCCCCCCCACTCTCATTTTCCCTGCGCCTTCCTCCCTCTAATCCTTCTCCCTCCCTCTAATCCTTCTCCCTCCCTCTAATCCTTCTTCCTCCCTCTAATCCTTCTCCCTCCCTCTAATCCTTCTCCCTCCCTCTAATCCTTCTCCCTCCCTCTCACCCGTCCCTCTTTTCCCTCTTCCTCCCTCTCACCTTTGTCTGGCGCCCCCGGAGTCAGGAGTAGGGGTGAGGGTGGTGGTGGTAGAGGAGGCTCTTGATGGCTCGTTAGATGTGATGTGGTTTCTGGTCATGTCTCGTGCTCCGAACACCTCCCTTGAGCCCACCATCTCCCGCTCAGCCCGCGCCGTCGCCAAACTGCCGAGAGATGGGCCACAGTTAGTGAGAGATAGAGACGGGAGATGGGCCACAGTTAGTGAGAGATAGAGACGGGAGATGGGCCACAGTTAGTGAGAGATAGAGACGGGAGATGGGCCACAGTTAGTGAGAGATAGAGACGGAGATGGGCCACAGTTAGTGAGAGAGAGACGGGAGATGGGCCACAGTTAGTGAGAGATAGAGACGGGAGATGGGCCACAGTTAGTGAGAGATAGAGACGGAAGATGGGCCACAGTTAGCGAGAGATAGAGACGGGAGATGGGCCACAGTTAGTGAGAGATGAGCCACAGTTTGTAGAAAATGGTCCAGCGAGAGAGAGTCCACAGTTAGGAAGACAGTCCACAGTCAGCGAGAGACAGTCCGCAGTCAGCTAGAGACAGTCCACAGTCAGCGAGAGACAGTCCGCAGTCAGCTAGAAACAGTCCACAGTCAGCGAGAGACAGTGGTCCATCTCCCTTGGTGAACGAGAGATAGCAGAGAAAAGGGGGAAAAATAGTCGAGATAGCAAGATATAGTTCACATTCAGCGAGAGATGGGCCGCAAGAGACAGCCGGGAGATGGGTCACAGTTTACGATAGATTGTCGGAAGTTTTCAAGAGTTTCTTCACATATACAGACACTCGAACCTGGTAGAAAAAAAAAAGAAAAAAAATTAGCAAACAACAATATAAACATGAGAGAAATAAAACAATTAGTTGTATAAAGAGTGTTGTGTGCAGTGTCCAGCCCAGGATAAGAACAGGGGGAAGGGGTTGGGACGGTGTGACTTTGAACTAGTGACAAAATTTAACCTTATGAATTTAACCTCCCGATATCGTTACGTTAACCACCAACTCTAAAAAAAGAAAAAAAATAAGACAAAGGATGTAAATATTCAAAACTAAGGAAGGTTTGTTTTGGTCTGGCCGCTAATCAAAGAAAACAAATCAGGGGTAACTGTGGTAATCCTAATGTTTCGTAACGTCATTATTATCTTTCCTTTTTCTCTTTTATCCTCTTTACCACTGATCGGCTCGTTAGCCGCCCGGGCGATCGGTCACGTCTCTGTCACGCACTGTTGGCAAATACTGGGCATGTACCGGCTCCTGAATGTACCTGAACCCGCTCCAGTGTTGGTCAAGTCTGGTCTTGACAGAGCTCACACTCGGTGCCGTCACAACACATGGAACAGGTATTTAGTGATGTGTTATAGAGACGTATTTCATGTCTCTCTCTATGTTTCTTACCCCTGGGCGTCGCCACTACTACTGAGAGATATAGATACTATGTGTAAAGATTATGATTGAATGTGTAAACAAAAGAGTGAGACACATTTCACATAAGACAACAAACAATGGGGTGGAATTAATAATATGTGTGAGGAAGAAATATACAAGAAATATATAAGAAATATAAAATAATTATTACTAAAACATTTGTCATCTATACTTTATTAACGAGTTAGTGGATTTTAATTAGAATCTCAAGGCAGGAATTTTGTTTATAATTAATAAAAACATGGAAGAAATAAGTGATGATTCAGATAACAATAATAAGCTGGAATAAATGGAAAATTAGCCAAATGTACCAAGCACTAATTTAAGCCAGATTTGGGTTTTATCAACGAAGGAAAAATACGGAACTGTGACTCATTGGCAAGATAAAGTAAACTGAATTAGTGACACTGTTTCTATTAAAAAGACGATATAATAGATTTTAAAATTTTCATAATAAATATATACAAAAACGAAGGAACTATACTGTGAGCACTGAAATAGAAACCTGATCAGTTAAAACTATCCTGATAATCTGTGTGAATTACTGTATATAAAATCATACAACTTTAACAAACGAAGATTAAAAAAAAATATAGAATTAATGAAATGATCGTAAATTACAAATAGTTAAAAAAATACCGAATTATATAAAGGTAAATTACAAATAGTTTAAAAAATAAAAAATTACATAAAACAATCAATTACATCTGGTATCTTAGGTTGATCTTGAGACTCTGAAAAGAAACTGTCACGATTACCAATGTTCAGACAGTTTTCTCTAACTAGGAAGATTTGGTCAAATTCACCGAAAACTGGACATTAAGAAAACTTTGTCAAATGATACTTAATTCATATATTGCATTAACGTTTTTTAAAGACTGATGTTAATAATTAATAAAGAGTTCTGTAGTTATGAATTTTTTTAGAAAAAGTAATTGTTTGGTAATATGAAGTGTCAAAGTTGTTTAATTTGTCAAAGTTTATGGTTTCTAAGTAAATGTAACGCATTGAAACTTTCTAAAGAATAATTTTACACTAAGAGTTTTCCCACCCAATGTTAGCATACAACTCACACATTAAAATATATAAAATATCTTGATAAATAGTCTTTAGTGAACGGTAATGAGACGTAGAAAAAGAGTTACTATTTTAGATTAATTCCTACAAAACATGTATGAAAACGAGACAGTAATACAGTATAACACAAGTTTCTCAATATATTACATTCCTTACACTCTATTACGTGTTTTTAAATGAATACAAATATGTGTACCCGGGGCCAGTAATGCCCAGTACTTGCCAACAGTGCGTAACAGAGGCGTGACCGACCGCCCACGTGGCCAATAAACCGAGCAAAAGGAATTTCACAAGAGTTCTGTGATGGGCCAACGAGAAGTTTATATCATGGAATACAAAATACAATACATATTTCTACAGATGTCATGAATAAAGACGAAAGCTAAGGTGCTTCATTGTTTCCCTTTTTAATTAATTTTCGTCACGTCAGCTACACATTTCCATTAAACGAACCCGAAATATTGGTGAAAATTCTGGTATATGTTAGAATTCAAACTGTCAATATATTCCAAGTTTTACCAAAGTAGATCATTTGACCACGGGAATACAATACAGTATGACCCAATATGGAGATCGGGAGAGGAGTCTATAAACGGCACAACGAAGACAAAAATGCTGAATATATAAATTCCATGCAAAAAGTATTACAAAAAATAGCAAAGTCAGAGTTTAATAATAAGAATATTCCTAGTCCATCCGTTTTCGCCCCTCAGTTAATCGTCAGAATTGGTGCGCCTCGTGGGCTCGAGAGACCCAATGAGACCAGAGGAGGATCTAATCAACCAAAAGGGGTTAGCAGAGCATCGCACACACCCCGCCCCAGTGAGATCCAGTCAGGTTCCATCCACTGTCATCCGGGCATTCTCCTCTTCTTAACGCTATGAATACCATCGTCTATATAGGCTAATATACTATATAAAGGTCTCAGGGATCTGTTTTCAGGGCATTTATATGTAGATCAGAGACGCTCTATTCATATATACGATTTAGTCAACGGCCTGGTCTCCCGGTCGTGTCTTATTTTTTTGAGGAAAGTTTGGTGGAGTTGTATGTTATTTCTTCACTGTTATATACGCTGATCTGGACAATACAGAGTTAGTTCGCTTTTGAGAGAGAGAGAGAGAGAGAGAGAGAGAGAGAGAGAGAGAGAGAGAGAGAGAGAGAGAGAGAGAGAGAGAGAGAGAGTTTTCTTCCATTAGCCAACTCTTTCTAACACGGCCTCAGGGTCCACCATAAGTCGTCAGTGATGGTGCCGGATCCCTGTGAAACATCAGCGGGAGTTGTATACAATAGGTGGGCTCTGGTCCGTGTGAAACCATAAGATTCGCTGTCAGCTTATTTCATTTAAAGATTAACTACCCAAACGTAACCTAACCCCACCCAAGCTTACTTAACTTAACCTACTCTACTTAATCACCCAAGGTAGAGTCTGTGTGGTTAATCTTCGGGTGAGATAACTTAGGGGGAGGGGCGAAACTTGGCGTGATCCCAATAAAGGTATATTTAACGTAGGTGACACTGGTAACTGACTTGAGTTAGTGCTCGAGCAGTAACTCAAAAGCTGGCCACCTGACAACTTAAAGCTGCTCTGGCGGCTTGAAATTCAGCTGTGAACGTGAGCGTGGTGGATGTGCTGTTGGCTCCTGTGTCCGGCCAATCACACCCCGAGACAAAATGGTCAATAGTGAGGTGTTCTGGCCTGGCTATACTCTCATTAAGTACAGGAAGAGTCATGACTTCCCCGGTGTGTTTTTTCTTATGAATGTAAAACCCAGTTGGATTAAAAATACAAATCTATAAAAATCCATTGGTGTTTACACTCGAACACGCTGGCTGTGCCCAAATCCTCTTCCAGGAGAACGAAATATAGTTTAACTTAACATGAGTGGACTGAAGAGATGACAAGACGGGGAATATTCTGTTGTTTACCATAAATGTACAACTCAAAATGGCGCTGAAGAAAACTGTGCCTCGTTGTCTGGGTTACTGGTACCATTTAGACATACCTCTGGTACTGCACCGAAGCTGTGCTGATTATAATAACATTCCCTTGATGTCTCCTTAACTTGTGTCACACCGCACCTCTTCTACTGAGTTGGGCGTATAGTATTATTAATGGTAAAAAATAAACCGCCTGCAACATTTATACCCGAATAAATATTAGTAGATATATGACCTTACCTTCATGTTCCACAGTTAAGTGAAATCAATTGACTTTTTAATACGATTATAATCCCACAAATCACCCAATGCGGGAAGGTCACTTACGCCCTGAAACACGTCTTGTTGTGTTGTTTTGGTGAAGCAGACTGACGGGTGGGTGGTGGTGGTGGTGGTTATATAGACAGACAGACAGACAGACAGACGCAAACAAACACATGGGTAGATTAAAACTTGAAAATAATACAAATTTTTCGAAGCTCAAAGGTTTTTCATCTGTAAGCGTCACTCATCAAAACAAAAGAGCATCAACGTGTGTATTGAATCGTTGTTTACCATTAGTTGTATACCTTCACTGTCTACGTGTACAGTAAACCAGAGTAAACTAGTGTGCTGGGTTTACTGTCTATCGATCGATCTGATTTTCTGTATCGATTACCGTAAAAAAGACGAAAACAGGACGAAAAAGAAAAAAAGACGAAAAAAGAAAGAAGAAAAAATACGAAAAAAAGAAAGAAGACGAAAAAATGGTTGTTGGCAGCTTCGTCAGTTTGAATTATTTTTTCCCCAATGAATCATTAAGGTAGCAAATGAACCGTGAACTGAAAAATGCTAAATTTTTGCCCATGCTTCCATGAATACCTAAGTAGGTAACATATGCCCTTCTTGCCAAAAACAAATTACTGCATTTTTTAGAGTCATGAGAGAGAGAGAGAGAGCGAGAGAGAGAGAGAGAGAGAGAGAGAGAGAGAGAGAGAGAGAGAGAGAGAGAGAGAGAGAGAGAGAGAGAGAGAGAGAGACTCAGTTATCACGGTACTTGACCTAACACGACCTAGCTTATAGAGGGATTCATCCATTACAATTAGGTCCCCATCCCATTGGTTTGGTTTATCTGGGGCCTAACAAGACTGGGGCCCATTTGAATTTAATGGAAGGTATGTAGCTACATATATATATTGCATTCACAAAATTTAAATCAACAAAATGTTTCTCTTTGACCCATAGAAAATAATATAGTAAAGTTCCCCTTAATTTCCGATATATATAAGTTTTCTCTGAAAGAAGTTTTTCATGAGAACAATAAACTGATAAACAAAAACATATGGTGAACAATAATTAACTAGAGTAAGACTGAGGCGGATCCAACACTATAGTCCAAGTCGTTTAGGGTGGCGGACCGTGGCCACTATCAAGAACATTTTGAGGCCATTTTGAATACATGTGCACTTGATATTAGGAGATATTCTGAGGTCAATAGTAATTACTTTTTACTATACAAAAATGCCTGAGTACAATACTGAATTAAAGAAAAAGTATTGGAATTTTCTGATGAAAAGGGGGGCTCCGAACCCCCAGGACCCCCGTGGATCCGCCCTTGTAAGACTAAGTTAAACATACAAAAAATAAAGGAAATAATTGAGAGTATAATGTATAATGACGATGACTGTACAGAATATTTACAGATAACGTTGACCATAATATTGACGTTGTTGGAAAAACACGACGAACAATAACAGCGCGAGGAATGGTTTAAACTAAATCGAGTGTTCTTCTTTTGTAGTTGAGTATTTTAAGAATATCGAAAATTTTTGGTACGGAGTTAATTATGTTAAGAGGAAAATCGAGTTTTCTTGGCATGTAATCGAATATTTTAAAAAGAAATTCGAGTATTCGAACGAGGCTGACGAGTGCAACACAAAGAACTCTAATATTCTCAAGAGGGAGCCGAAGAATTTTTTGAGAAATCGATTATAATTATTTTTTGGGGAAGAAAATTTAGTAATTTCCTAAGATCATCATTAATTCTGTAGAAGATATCGACCAGTGATGAGCAGACAGCGAGAAGCCTACAGACCTCTCACCCAGACAACACACTCGGGGTCTCAAGTCTACCTCGTCGTGTGGTCTTAAGTGATCAAGACTTACCTGGCGTAGACGTTGAGAAACTGAGGGGGGTTGTCCTCCTCTGCGTCCTGGGCTCGGGGCTTCCAGCAGCTGGTAAGAATATTGCTAAACACCGAGGGAGGTTGGAAGAGGAGGGAGAGAGGCTTAAGTGAGAGATCTGACACAAATAAAAAATAATAACTAATAACACAACAAAATTCACACACTTAAGTTTTTTTTATTTTTGGTCAGGCCAGGAGATTCTGACGGGTGGGGGAGGCTGCTGGTGTGTGTGTGTGTGTGTGTGTGTGTGTGTGTGTGTGTGTGTGTGTGTGTGTGTGTGTGTGTGTGTTTCTTGTGTGTATGTTTGTGTATGTGTGTCTTGTGTATATGTGTGTTTGTGCGTTAGTGTGTGCATGTTTGTGTGTGTCTTGTGTGTGTGTGTAAATAATGGGGGGGACTATATACATGGCTGTTCTATGGGTGGGGAGGGGGGAGGGTAGGGGTGGGGTAGGGGTAGGGGTGGGGGTTGTGGGGTGAGGTGATGGGGGAGGAGGATACGTCTAAATTGAACTAATTCTTTATGCAAAAATCTTATTGATTCTATGATGGAGATGGGGAGGCGGTGAGGGAGAGGGAGGGAGGGTGTTAGTGTTAAATGGGGGCGGGGGTGGGGGTGGCAGTAGTTGAGGAAGTAGTTAGGCAGAACAGGCAATAGTTTAGCTCATTAATAGGCTAATTAGAGTAATCAATTGAAATGAGGCTGTTACTGTCGTCTAATATGGGGTTAGGTAGTTAGAGAGAGGACAACTTAGTATATTGGACTATTATTATTATTTGATATTTGTGACTTAAAGAACATTTCATTCACGGATCTGGTCAGAGGCTTGTTCAGGTCAGTGGCTTGTTCAGGTCAGTGGCTTTGAGTCAGTGGCTTGTTCAGGTCAGTGGCTTGTTCAGGTCAGTGGCTTTTTCAGGTCAGTGCCTGTTTCAGTTAATTGGCTTGTTCAGGTCAGTGGCTTGTTCAGGTTAGTGGCTTGTTCAGGTCAGTGGCTTGTTTGGTTAGATGGCTTATTGTTCAGGTCAGTGGCTTGTTCAAGTCAGTGGCTTGTTCAGGTCAGTGGCTTGTTCAGGTCAGTTTGTTCAGGTCAGTGGCTTGTTCAGGTTAGTGGCTTATTATTGTTCAGGTCAGAGGCTTGTTCAGGTCAGTGGCTTGTTCAAGTCAGTGGCTTGTTCAGGTCAGTGGCTTGTTCAGGTTAGTGGCTTATTATTGTTCAGGTCAGTGGCTTTCCAGGTCAGTGGCTTGTTCAGGTCAGTAGCTTGTTCAGGTTAGTGGCTTGTTATTGTTCAGGTCAGTGGCTTGTTCAAGTCAGTGGCTTTTCAGGTCATGTATTGTTCAAGTCAGTGGCTTGTTCAGGTCAGTGGCTTGTTATTGTTCAGGTCAGTGGCTTGTTCAGGTCAGTGGCTTGTTATTGTTCAGGTCAGTGGCTTGTTATTGCCATGCACATGTCAGTAGATCGTAATTGGAATGCACAGGTCAATAAATCGTAATTGCCATGCATAGGTCAGTAGATCGTCATTGGTTGCATAGGTCAGTAGATCGTCATTGGTTGCACAGGTCAGTAGATCGTCATTGGTTGCACAGGTCAATAGATCGTCATTGGTTGCACAGGTCAGTAGATCGTCATTGGTTGCACAGGTCAGTAGATCGTCATTGGTTGCACAGGTCAGTAGATCGTCATTGGTTGCACAGGTCAATAGATCGTCATTGGTTGCACAGGTCAATAGATCGTCATTGGTTGCACAGGTCAATAGATCGTCATTGGTTGCACAGGTCAATAGATCGTCATTGGTTGCACAGGTCAATAGATCGTCATTGGTTGCACAGGTCAATAGATCGTCATTGGTTGCACAGGTCAATAGTTCGTCATTGTCGCCACCAGGGTAATGCCTCTTTAAAGATACGTCACAAAAGTTTTGCTTCTCATAATAAAATACTGGCGCGTGTCTTGTTCTGCCTTGGGAGGATATTCATAATATATACAAAATTCAATCTATTCACTACAGCTTCCATCAACAGCTGTACAAAAAATATTCTTCCCCTCATTTTGAACAAGGGTGAACGGGAAGACCTACGTCATAACAATATACAAAATGCTGAATTGAGTTGTTTTTTGGGGAAACTCTAGAAAAAAAAAATTATTTATATATTTATGCAGCACAAACATTAGGGCACAAAATCCCCCAGTCAGACCATGTAAATAAATCATATTTATCTGGGAAACAATGTCAGACTCTGAAAAACAACAACAACAATAATGGCGAAATAAGGATGAACGCAGGTCATGCTGGAGAGAGAGAGAGAGGGGGGCGGTGGAGGCATGGAAAGGGGGGATGGAGGCATGGAAGGGGGGGGTGGAGGCATGGAAGGGGTGGGCATGGAAGGGGGGGTGGAGGCATGAAGGGGGCGGAGGCATGAAGGGGGGGCGGTGGAGGCATGGAAGGGGGGGTAGAAACAGTGAGAGGTGTGAGAGAGAAAAAGGTGCAGTGAGACAACGAAATGAGGTGAGGTAAAACTGAGATGACACACTCACACAGCGGAAGGTTACCACTGTGTGAGTCAGGTAAGGGACTACACTCTATATATCACCAGCTGTCCATAGTTTTAAACACTCTGGGTATAATTACTCTTGATAGTTTTATTCTTAATATAAATGAACAACAAACTAACTAAAGGACATTTATCACCTTAACATGTAATTTATTAAGGGATAAACAATAAACTAATGTATTTTATTAAGGGATAAATAATAAACTAATGTATTTTATTAAGGGATAAACAATAAACTAATGTATTTTATTAAGGGATAAATAATAAACTAATGTATTTTCTCCCAGCTGTAGTTGCCAGAGGCCGCTTTAGTAATACAACATAACACATTCTGTTTTATTTCTCGAACACACGCAATGTTCTCTCTTACTCTCGGGGTCCCGTGAGAGGGTGTGTGTGTGTGTGTGTGTGTGTGTGTGTGTGTGTGTGTGTGTGTGTGTGTGTGTGTGTGTGTGTGTGTGTGTGTGTGTGTGTGTGTGCGTGCGTGCGTGAAGGTAAGGTACATGACCAGATGTAGTGAAACGTGGGTGGTAAGGACCGTAGACTTTATCAACAATATTCTTCGCCTATGCATAGAGACGATTGGTAGTGTGTGTGTGTGTGTGTGTGTGTGTGTGTGTGTGTGTGTGTGTGTGTGAAGGTAAGGTATACATGAGATGTAGTGAAACGTGGGTAAGGACCGTAGACTTTATCAACAATATTCTTCGCCTATGCATAGACGATTGGTGGTAGTGTGTGTGTGTGTGTGTGTGTGTGTGTGTGTGTGTGTGTGTGTGTGTGTGTGTGTGTGTGTGTGTGTGTGTGTGTGTGGTGTGTGTGTGTGTGTGTGTGTTTTATAATTATTATTTGTTGTTCTTTTGCTTCTTGGTTTAATTTTAAATATTTCACCAGCCAGAGTTATCAAGCAGCGGTCTTATGATGGTTTTAGTATCCAGAATTAAAAGCAACAACTATTGTATATCAACAAATCAACAAACATTTTGATCTTAAAGGCCAATAAAACCAAGATTACTGTTACTCTTAATTACATTACTTAAACGCATATAAGTGTTTTAAAAGTCATAGATAAGCTAGTTATAGATCGATTGACATATAAAAACAACTTGACTCCGTTTTCCTTGGATCTCTTGTTTTCATCACGCTCGTTGCTTAGTTTTACGGAACCAATATTTCTTCATTTTATTGGTGTTTTCATGACGCACTAACAACCATTCATTTATATTACCAGATAGCGAATGTTAATGTAACGACCGGTATAATAACCTACATGTCCCTGTCTTAAAATAGAATAAAAAAAAACAATAAAATTTTTAAAGAAAACAGATTTATATTTTGAGGGGTAACTGTGGTATTGTGGTGTTAGATGGTCTGACGTGCATGACAAAGATCTCAAGACAGGCATAAACAAAGAAAGCTGGCGATATTTAAAGGGTTGGCTCTTAAACATTAACAATACGACAGAGAGTGAGAACAGGATCCCTAGAACACCCTAATAGTGGTTTTAGTTGAGGGTAATGAGGTGTTTAGACACACTATGCTGGCTCGTTCCCTCCCTCACCCAGCCAACTACACCATTGCTGTTTGGACTCTTCAATGTAGCTCTCTCTCTGTCTCTCTTCTCTCTCTCTCTCTCTTTATCACACTTTCTCTCACACTCTCTTACTTCCACTCCCTTTCTTACACTATCTCTCTCAGGGATGGGTTAGGGTGGGTCAGGGGCCGAAGCAGGGGTGGGTTTAGGTGGGTCAGGATCTGAGCAGGTGGGTTTAGGGTTGGTAAGGACAGAAGCAGGGGTGGGTTTAGGGTGGGTCAGGGATCTGAAGCAGGGGTGGGGTTTAGGGTTGGTTAGGGACAGAAGCAGGGGGTGGGTTTAGGGTGGGTTAGGGACAGGTACTTCAACTATCTGTCAGGGTCATTAAACACCATTCACTACAGTAGGTCTTAGTTTATGACATCACACAAAATACAACCTTTATGAAATTGGTCTTTTATTCCTATATAATTAAACGATCTTATTACTGTACACTAATGCCCCCTAAGAGCTGAACAACACTCACACCATACATACATACATACATACATACATACATACATTTTGCAGTGTACGATTTGGTGGTCATGGCTGTGTCAGTTCGGAACGAGTCAGCATAAAACAAAATAATAATAATACTAAACCACAAAATAGTCCCATAGTTGTATTGGTAATTCTCTAGTTAACATGGGATATGTACAAGGATGAACAGGTTAGATTGGCTTTGTTAGTTGAGTATGAGGAGGAATTTTAAAACAATATTTCAGTTTGGGTTTAGAAAAAAAAAATAAAAAAAATAAACATTAAAGAAAACGGGGCTACAAGACAAGAAGGCATAACTTTAATTTTTTCTTTCCTCATCCACCAAAACATGGAAGGTAAGTTGTCTGTCATCTTCTTGTCTTTTCTTCGTCCTCCATCTTTCCTATTTCTTCCCAAAAAGTAAAAAAGAAATAAAATAGACACACACACACACGCACACCTCTCAGTACAACTTACCTATCTTATGACTCAGCCATTAATCCACATTGTTCTTGAGCCGCGGGTAAAACACAATAAGTATCCCCGAGTTCTGTTTGGTTGACCGGGAATATCTCTTGGGGTCCTAAACAAACCCCTTGAGGTACGCCCCTCCCAGATAAACCAAAACTCATACCCTTGAATGTCTCTCCCTATCTCTTGCTTTTATCTCCCTTCTCTCCACACTGACACCTACCTGGCAGCGAATTTCCTCGAGGGCTTGACGCCGTGGGATTCAAGTTCCTTCTCCAGCTGTTTGATCTTTACTCTGGCCATGTCGAGTTCGTGCTTGACCTTCCAGATGTGAGTGTCGCAGAGGGGGTCTCGACACCTGTGGCGGCGGAGTTTATTCTGGGCCTCGAACACCGCCCCTCTGAAGGTGAGTGATTTGCCCATGCTCTGTTTGGGGTAGAGTGTGAGATAATGAGAGATAATGAGAGATAATGAGAGAGAGAGAGAGAGAGAGAGAGAGAGAGAGAGAGAGAGAGAGAGAGAGAGAGAGAGAGAGAGAGAGAGAGAGAGAGAGAGAAGAGAGAGAGAGAGAGAGAGAGAGAGAGAGAGAGAGAGAGAGAGAGAGAGAGAGAGAGAGAGAGAGAGAGAGAGAGAGTATTGGTTTCTAAGAGATGGTGTGTGTGTGGCAGTGTTTTTTAGCAATATGGAATGGTGGTAGAGTGGGTGTGTGTGTGTGTGTGTGTGGTGTGTGTGTGTGTGTGTGTGTGTGTGTGGAGCCATTATGTATAAAACACACCACTTCCCTGAAATATATTACGGCGTTAAATTATACCAGACTTTATGTCCAGCTGAAATGCGATATAATATATATTTACGTTGATGGTGATGAGTACACACACACACACACACACACACACACACAGGCAGGGATGATTGTGTGTGTTTCAGGCATACATACATACATACATACATACATACACACAACTCACCAGACTAATAAGGGCACAACATCCCCCGGAGTCCGTCTTGGCAGTGTTTCCTGACGTACTTGAAGTAAATGTGCTCGAGTAACAGCAAGATGAGGGCCAGCAGCACCCCGGAGAAGAGCAGCAGATAAGCCGATAAGAACTGCTCCAATGCCAAGGGTTCCGATGCTCTTTTGTTCTGCTTCTTAGGTTTACAAGCGCCGGTCAGCCAGAAACGTTGTATGCGTTCCATGTCGCCTGAAAGAGAATGTCTGTATGTATGTGTGTCCTAGAGCCCCTGTGGCCGGGTATTAGTCTAGATGTTTTTTTAAAGGTTGTTGGTTATATTCCTGTCTGTCTCGCATCTTGTTTGTTTAGTTTTGGTGAGGTTTGGTTTGGTTAGGTTAGGGAAACTGTTATATTTTAGCTGCATTACATTTATAAACTGGTGTGATATGTAGTAATTCTTTTTGATCATAAAAAATCTATTGAATATAAAATGAAAACCAGACGTGATAAATTATAACACATGACATTATAAAATTAACAACAATTGAAAGGTGAGATAAAAAAACTAAATGTCTCACTAAAAAAAATATTCGTAACGTAAGTATTTGGTAGATAATTTATAAGCCTCTTTTAACCTCTAGTGAAGGTCGAGATATTCTAATTAACGAAAACAATAAAAATCAAGTATTATTTGTCATGTTTATTTCCCGCCATTCCGCCATTTTGAGAGGATCAGAAAAAACTTGCAGATCGTGATGCGGGCGGCTATAGATCCGGTTATTGTTGTCAGGATAACTTTGCAAATTTCCAGTGGATTTAAACCAAACTCAATAAGTAAGAATAATATAACAGGATTTTTCACAGGAGGTCAAGAGTTAAGATTTTACAGTGGTTAGTGTGTTGAGTTTTGTGACCTTGGATTAAGCTGTGACGCGGCGGGGGCAGTTGTCCAGCTTCAGGGAGGGAAGGCGTGTGAGAGGAGGAGGAGGAGGTTGATGAGGGAGACACCAACATCACCACCACCTCCTACAACATCACCACCTCCTCACACCATCAACAAACACTCACCATTATCCTTATACGACATGAGTTTCTCGTTAAAGTGAGAGGTGTGCTTGGAGCCCCTGGGGAAGGCGATGCCGTAGCCCGTCATGTGGTACCAGGCGCCCACCGTCAGTAGTGTACACTCGTCGTCGACCGGAGTAGTCCAGCACCGTCGCGTCGTAGATGAAGGCGTCCTGCTCTGTGGGGGAGGTGATGAGAGAGAGAGCTACCTTTACCATCTACTTACAGAGTAATTTTGTTCTCTTCTGCCCTCGGGTCACGCTGTCGGGAGTAAGGCATTACAAGCGACCTTCATTCTCGTTCTTTTTGAGAGTTAGGAGGTATTCGTTAGGCCTCTTACCCCTATAACCTCCATCTTTTAAAACTTGAGGCTTATTAAGGCTGGGGCCTATTAAAACTGGGGTCCATTAAAACCGGTGGCCTATAAAACTAGTGAGTCCACTTATCTAGTCGCCAAATACTTGCTCAGTAAATACCCTGACTCAATACGGCCTTAATTAAGGTAAGCTTTCAGCCGGTAAATAATTACACCTGTACGTCTACACCTGTCTGCCAATACCTGTACGTCTATACCTGGTAAGTCTCTACCTGTCTGCTACCGCCTGTCTGTTATTAAAGGTATTCTGAAGAGACGTAAATTTAAAGTTTTCTTCTCTTGTATTTTTTACATGATGAGGCGCGGATTTTAAGTCTTATCAATTTAAAATCTTGTCAATATATTCACTGAAATAAGATCTTCAAGGCAAAGAAAATACGCGAATTTAAAGTCGTGTCAATTTCTCCAGACGGAAAATACAAGATTCTATTCTGAATTAAAAAAAAAAATAATTAAATAAATTATTGTCCGTATCTTTACCCGTGAAATATATATGATATATATTTTGAAGAGAAAAAACATAAAAAAAAAGGAACAAACTTGCCATCAACCACAGAATAACTGAGAAAGTTGGTTTGGAAATCCTGCGTTACACATTTTTTCCCGCCATTCCTCGCCGCGGGCCTCTGACAGACTAGTGGCCATGATTACCTGTACACGCGGCCATGGAGAGAACGCTGGTGCAATCAGAATCTGAGTGACTGGTTGATGGCTCAATGCGGCGATAAAGTGGACGGCAGCGCAATCAGAAGCTAACTGATTGTCCGATTACCGCTGATAACTTACCGCGCTCAGGGGAAGGTTCGAGTATTTTGTGCATAGTTACCCATCTTATTTGCATATGAGTTAAGTCTTCGAAAAAAAAAATCCTTCGTTGGTGAATTATCAAGAATTTTGAGAATTTTCCCAACTCGATAATTCTGGTCAAGTAAGCTGCAGATTTAGGCGAGTTTGGTTAAGTTTGATGTGTGTGTGTATTCAATCTTGTACAAAAGGCGTTTATTATGTAGTAAGGATATGACACTCGACTCTGTGGCTTGCTTTTCCTCCCCAGAATATCACCAACATGTTTACGTCTGCAGGTGTTCCAATATTGCACTCGTGTGTGTGTGTGACCAACTCTGCAGGTTCCCAACTTCTCTCTTGCAGCAATAAAGAACTTTCTTAACATTTTAATATTGTTGAGCGATTTTTACAAATCTTTTGGCCAACTCAGGTAATGGAAAAGCAAAAGCCAAAAAAAAGTTTACGTGTCAGAAAGTTCCAAGCTCTTCATCTCCTCCCAACTACTGGCAACGGATGTCTTTTAAAAAAAATTATCCATCCAAATCACGTGCTGAAATATAATGAATTCTTAAAATGTATTCGTCGTGATAACAAAAATGTGGAGCGAAAATATATTTCTTCATAATGACTATGTCTTTACTTTTGTTTTGTTTTTCATAAAATAACCAAAGTCGTCAACTGACACTTTTGTCACTTTACCTGCGGTCTATAGGCCTACCTGTTCTTGGTTACTATGACGTCACACATGTAAATAAACTCCTCCCACGCTTTGTTAGTAACGTCACACATATAGTACATGATTACTACTACTACTACTACTACTACTACTACTATTACTACTACTAATAGCAGTAGTAATAATAGCACTAATAGCAGCAGTAGTGACAACAGCAGCAGCACACAACATATGCCTTCGGGAGGTACGGGGGGAGAGGAGGGGGAGAGAGGGGGTTGGGGGATTGGGGGAGAGATGGAGGTAGGGGAGGGATTGGGAACGGGGAGGAGGTAGGGTGAAAGACTAGATGGAGGTGAGGGGTGGGGGAGGACGTAGTGGGAGAGAGGGAGGGGGGGTGATGGAGGGTCTCCCCAGTGGTCTCTTATATAAGAAAAAGGCGGGAAACGGGTCCATTTTTATTTCTTTTTCCTTTGTGGAGTCGTCAGCTGACAGGGTGTGTGAGGCATGTCCGACTCGCGTCTTTCCTGCCTGGTCGGGATATGTGAACACTCTGCGGTAACGATACAAAAACGAGGGGGGCGAAATGCGCGAGGGGGGGCGAAATGCGAGGGGGGGCGAAATGCGAGGGGGGGCGAAATGCGAGGGGGCGAAATGCGAGGGGCGAAAATGCGAGGGGGCGAAATGCGAGGGGGTCGAAATGCGAGGGGCCGGAAATGCGAGGGGTCGAAATGCGAGGGGGGCTTCCAGAAATGAGGGGGGGCGAAATGCGAGGGGGGCGAGCAGGGTCGAAATGCGAGGGGGCGAAATGCGAGGGGAGGGGGATTTAACTTTAACGGGTAACTAAAATAAATGAATGTACGTCAAGTAATAATGATAGCGTTTCCATTCCTACGAAAGGTAATAGAATGAATTTGTTTAGAATGACGATAATGTTTCCTTTAACGAATGATGAAAACATTCTACTTTAACGGGAGATGAACATAATTGAAATAAAACGAATCATAAACCAAAATCTAACCTAACCCAACCCAACCCAACACCCGTCACCAAGGCAGACCACCTCCTCCCTCACACTGTCCATCTGTCACTGACTGAGGTAAGTTTGAAGTGAATATGTTACACCTGTCTGAGAGAGAGAGAGAGAGAGAGAGAGAGAGAGAGAGAGAGAGAGAGAGAGAGAGAGAGAGAGAGAGAGAGAGAGAGAGAGAGAGAGAGAGAGAGAGAGAGAGAGAGAGAGGTCTCAACAGCAGATCTAATTGCAATATATTTCTAAAAAAGTACAGTGTGTATCAGAGATGTGTCAGAGGGTTGGGTGTCAGAGATGTGTCAGGGGAGGTGGGTGTCAGAGATGTGTCAGGGGGTTGGGTGTCAGAGATGTGTCAGGGGAGGTGGGTGTCAGAGATGTGTCAGATGGTCGTGTGGTTATGACTTGGACACCATGAAGCTGTACCCTGGCCAGAGTAATATTTACAGAGTGGGACAGAAAAAAAAAGACTGCCACATCCACCTCGCGTTCACCCAGGTATTAATGAGGTATCGATCCTCTCTAGACAGACCTCAAGAGACACACTGATTCCATGTCCTCAGGGTGTATGAGGTCTAGCTACTGTGGGATGAAGGTGAAGCCATGGAGACTAACCGATCAACTCATGGTTATCTGGTAATTGTAGCGTCTGGTGTTAAGTCTTTCTTGGTAGATTTTTGTTTTTATTATAGAACGTTTCCTCTTATGTTGTGTTTTGGTGATTTTTTGATTTTAAATTAATTTTTCTTCATAGTTTATCATTGAATATTTCCTCCATTTTGGTCCAATTTCTTCAGTGTCTTTCCCTCCGTTTTCTTCCCTTCCAACAACAAAGGGGAAAACTTGCACATGTGACTACGCTCTCTACCACATCAAGGGCTCGATGCTATGTCTATAATAGGAGTGTGGCTGCCGCAGTCCTGGAGTGAGCGTAAGTGAGTTAGTGTCTCCACCATAAATTAGGTTTTCTCTCTCTCACAGAGCCAACTAACTTTGTCGCTGCCTCGGTAACGCTGTCATGTACCGCCACACTTTCTTCGTGGTCGCTAACTAACTTTACCCCACAAGTCTCCTTTAACTGAGTGGCTCACTTCAACTCTTGGATGACTAACTTCAGGTTTTAGGGCGGCCAACTTCAACTATATACCTATACTGTCAACCTACATTGTTTATATACCTGTACTGTCTACCATTATTGTTTATATACCTACATTCTCTACGTAACCTTGTGTGACGATTTTAGTTAACAAATGTCTGTTCATGAGAAACTACATAACAACTCATATGGTCAATTAACACATCTCTAACTACATACAGCGTGTAAGTAAAAAAAAAAAGTACACAAGCCCCTCCTAAAAATGGACCATAGAAAATATAAAAAACAACAGAAAACGGGATTATAAACAAAAGCATATCATCTTACCCCTTCTTGATAGCTTTGATGCCTTGGTTGATATTAGACTTATTATATTGTCTCATGTATTGGAACATTTCGTGTTCGTGCTTGGCCATGATCGTCTCCGTGTTGGTGAAGGGAACGAAGCCAAACTTGAAGGGAGGCTTCTTGAAGTATGGGTTTTGTAGCTGTGGAGAGAGAAAACGATAAAAAAAAGTATTAAAGGTTAGACTAAAGTAAACACATCCCGTAATTCTATTCATGAAGGTAATACATTCTGACAGCTAGGTTCAATAATATCTAACCCTCCTGATATTGTTTAGACATATATGATCACTTGGCATAAAAAACTCGGGCGTACAGTAATACACGAACATCGGAACACCACAAAATTTAATGGAAAGGAAAGAAGGAAGCTGAGAAATGATGGTACAAGCAAGACGTCCAATATTGTGGAGAGGGAACACATATGGATGGCTAGGGAGTTTTTGTTCCTTGAAACCAAACAACGCGAACCTAACCTAACCTAACTGAACTTAACTTGTACAGAACCACCTTAAAATCTCTCCATAGTCCCGAAGACTTCCTTAAACCCCATAGAACCCACCCAGAACCCCGTAGACTCCTTTGTAACCCCATAGAACCCGTAGGACCCCGTAGAAGGGAGGTACTGTACTAACCCGGTGATCCTCGATGCCAGACAGATCGTGGTATTCCTCTCTGGTGATCATGAAGGCGGCCAGGTTAGCGGTGTAGATGGCCAGGAACACCACGGCGAACATGGCCCAGATGTTGGCCATGAACCTGCGAGGGGGGAGGGGGACAACTATTAACTTCAGGGGCCAGTATAATGGCCCATATGTTGACCTTGTGTGTGCGTACTCTATGTATGTATGTATATATGTATGTATATATGTATGTATGTATGTATGTATGTATGTATGTTCTTGCATGTATTTGTATGTATGTTTGCATGTACCTCCCTGCATATATGTACGTACCCCTTTGCCCGTGTGTATGTATGCATTTTGTTTAATGTATGTACACCCGTGTATGTTCTTCCGTGAATGTACGTACGCCTGTATGCACCTCGCTGTGTGTATATATTCTGGCCTCTCCTATCATGCAACTGAAACACAGAGTAACTGGCTCTTTGTTTTACTTAGACCCGAGTCGACAACATACACGGCCTGTTGACTTGATACATACGCGGGGGCTAATGAAGGTTAAGAGAGAGAGAGAGAGAGAGAGAGAGAGAGAGAGAGAGAGAGAGAGAGAGAGAGAGAGAGAGAGAGAGAGAGAGAGAGAGAGAGAGAGAGAGAGAGAGAGAGAGAGAGAGAGAGAGAGAGAGAGACAATAGGACAAGTCTAGCTATTTTCGGTACATTAAGCACAGGTAGAATGCTTCAACGATTCCCATACACTGTGTCAGTCACCTTTTGTGTTCACCTAGACCCTCACAGCCCCCTACTCAGTTCACCTAGACCCTCACAGCCCCCTACTCAGTTCACCTAGACCCTCACAGCCACAAAGGATATCTCAACTACAAAGTGAGTGTACCAAGTTACCAGGTAATACTTTCTGCAAAATAGCTGTGAAACACACCCGAGTAAATCAACACAATCAGGAATACAATTGGTTTTAGCTGCGTTATATAGCTCTATGCATGTTTTTCCTAGATTATCTAAGATTGTTGTGTTTTGTTTATCGCGTCCCAGGCCTGTTCTCCTACACGGGCTCCACACTACACTATAACCATCAAGACGGACAGCGCCATCTATAAGTCACCAAGAGAGTAACAAAAACTAAAACAAACATAATATTCCGGCGTTTATATTTCTTCTCGTCGGAGGAAAATAACAAATGAACATCGTATCTTTGACTCTGAGCTAATTGGTTTTAAAAGTAGAAAAAAAAACCAGTTTGATTTACTGTTCCAAGATCTCATTTAATGGGTCAAAAGTTACATAATAAATAAAGAAAAACGTATTTTCAGTTATTCAGTATAGGGAGGGGGAGGAGAGAGGGAGAGGATGCTGCAAGCACCAGGCTGTATGAGAGAGAGAGAGAGAGAGAGAGGAGAGAGAGAGAGAGAGGGTAGAGAGAGAGAGAGAGAGAGAGAGAGAGAGAGGAGAGAGAGAGAGAGAGAGAGAGAGAGAGAGAGGTCCACACGGCAGCCACAGTACAGGACAGTGAAGGTGGTTGGTCTCTGGGGTAAATGATGCGTCAATTGCCTCTCCATTGAGTTGATTTATTGACATAGCTCAAGAAAATTATGGCTATGTGTGTGTGTGTGTGTGTGTGTGTGTGTGTGTGTGTGTGTGTGTGTGTGTGTGTGTGTGTGTGTGTGTGTGTGTGTGTGTGTGTGTGTGTGTGTGTGTGTGTGTTTGAAGATAAGCTACTATAGTAGTGAAACGTGGGGTAAAAGACTAGACTTTCTCAACAATATTCGCCGATACATAGAAGATTGGTGGTAGTGTGTGTGTGTGTGTGTGTGTGTGTGTGTGTGTGTGTGTGTGTGTTTGAAGATAAGTTACTATAGGTAGTGAAACGTGGGTGGTAAAGACTGTAGATTTTCAACAATATTCCTGCCGATACATAGAACACAGTGTGTGTGTGTGTGTGTGTGTGTGTGTGTGTGTGTGTGTGTGTGTGTGTGTGTGTGTGTGTGTGTGTGTGTGTGTGTGTGTGTGTGTGTGTGTGTGTGTGTGTGTGTGTTTATTGTAGCCTGAGGCTCTACCCCCCCACACACACACACTCAAGCCTCACACAACCTGTTGATGGCTGAGCTTGGTGGCAATCTTGTAAATATCTTGAAGGCCATCAAAGTCACGCTAGGGTTTTTGACGGTCTGCCAATCACAACTTAGAAGTGTTAAGATGCTGAATTATTACTGGCTGAGGTGAGGTTATGGTATGAGTCTCAGGTCAATTTATTTTTTTTTGGGGGGGGGGGGGCGCTGAATTAACCAATAAGATGGAGGTAAAATGTGAAATTGGATTCTAATTGGATGAGGGTACTGTTGGGGAGGCGTAACATCAAACTAAATTTTAATTGGTTAATAGTACAATTTGACAGGAGTTTGTGATTGGATTATGGTACAAAGGGGGTGGAGATTTCGATATAAACATGATCTCTAATTGGCTGATGGTACAATGACGCGGATTCAATGAAGTGAAGTGACGTTGAGCTCTAACTGGTTGACGGTACAGAGGAGGCGGAGCTAACTGCATGAAACTGTGTTCTAATTGGTTGATGACATACAAATAATGAAAACAATAATATGGAACTAAATTCTGATTGGACGAGAACATCAAGATGGCGGGACAAGGACAAAAACAATGCATAAAATGGCGTCGTGAACTGTGATATTTATACTGAAGGAAGACGCGGCTCACTAAGTGGCTCTTGGGAAATTAAGACCGTAAACCAATAGAAAAACAGGGAATCAAAAAAGCTGAACGTTCATTGGTCCGCAGCAGTAAGAGGACGAGTGGGGATCTAGATTACAAATACTTCTTCACTCGGCTGTAAATTTAAGTAAGGTGAGAGTAAGAGGAAGTAAGAGGGAGTAAGAGGGGCGATATTTATGGAGACTGAGTGCCACCGGTCCCCACATTGAACGGGATTGGCTGAAGCAGGATGCCAGGCGGAGCTAATACAATCTGTCACGGCTGGCTGGAGCTACCAAGACGGCGGAGCTACTAGGTTGCGTAACTCATGACACACACACACACACACACACACACAGACACACACACCCACACACACACATACACACACGTGTTTTATCCCTGTCTCTTCATACATCATCTATCACTCTTCATCAATCTATCCATCTATCCATCCACTATCTATCCACGCACCACCAACTCATCCACCTTGTCACGTCACACCCTCACCAAGCAACCCCCCCCCCTCCTTTTCCTCCTCCCAAGCCTTCCACCTCCTTCTCGGTCTTCCCAGTTCTTTCTGACCAACTGTAGCGGTTTTGTGCTCTAACCGATCACTCAAAATGTCAATACCACCTTAACTAAACCACCTTAACTGAACCACCTTAACTGAACCACCTTAACTGAACCACCTTAACTGAACCACCTTAACTGAACCACCTTAACTGAACCACCTTAACTGAACCACCTTAACTGATTGATTTTCTGTTCGACGTGAAAGCAGTTCTGCATTATTTCTTCGTCGTTATTTTTACCATTTTCTTAATTAATTTTTCCTAACTTTTTCGACAACTCTTCCTAATCGTTTTTCTTGTTCTTTATTGTATTTTCCTCACGTGTTGTTGTCCTCAAGCACCATTACCTTCGATTGTCATTGGTTTTTTCTCTCGTGTTTATAGTTTCTGTTTTACTCTATCACGGTATTGTTTAGTCGTCTATTCCTCTGTAAATATGACTCCCTCACTCTATGTAGATCTCTCTCTATATAGACATATTCATCAGTATTAATAGTAGTAGTAGTAGTAATGAATGACCTATCGACAGTAGAGATGAACTTGGGAGTGGTGAACATACCTGGCAGTGAATCCCTTGGGACAGTCGACGTGTACAGCTGCCTGGAAGAGCACCGCCCATACCAGCCAGTAAGTCCTTAGTAGTGAGAACTTGTGGTCACGAGGGGGCGCCACCTAGGGGGAAGACACACTTATGTTAGGGGGTGTTGTTAAAGTGTTGTTAGGGGAGTGTTGTTAGAAGTGTGCAGGAGTGTTGTTAGAAGTGTTATTGATGTTAGAAGTGTTGCAGTGTTGTTAGAAGTGTTGTTGAATGTTAAATTGGTAAGTGTTAAGGTGTTAAAATTATTAAAGGGGTGTTAGGGGGTGTTAAGAAGTGTTAGGGTGTTAAAGAAGGGTGATAAAGTCATTGGGGGCGAGACACGGTTATTAATTGGGTGTTAGGAAAGGGTTAAAGACAGACACACACACACACACACACACACACACACATAGAAGGTTGTACGTTGTATACAAAAACTGTGTATGTCTGGTTCTGATTTTATGAAGACTTACATAACAAGTATAACCCGTGTACAACATAAAACTCAAACACACACACACACACACTCAACCTTGCTCTTCTTCCGTCTCTCTCCTATCTAGCTGTTATTCTTTTTTATCTCTTATCTCTCGTTCTCTCTCCCACCCTTCCTGTTCTCCTACTCTTATATTACAACAGCAGCGCCGGCAATTCGTCTGTGTTTTGGTGTCTGGTGCCTGTGAGGCTGGAGGCGTCATACGTCTGGCACCGGGTTCGTCAAATATTCAGTGGTACAGGGACCCAACTGGGAGACATACTCGCGAGCCAAAAATACATACGACACAGAAAATTTAATGTACCTAAATGTGTATCCTGGAAACTATACTAGAACGAGAACTAGTGGAGATTTTACGATTTATTGTATACGATCACACGGCAATGAGAGAAAATACGAAGAGGCCATCAAGTGTACAACAAAGTGCATTCGTAAATACTATCGGCAATGGTTCTCTGTCAATAGTACGAAAATAAAGAGTCTTACTGTACTTTATACGCCATTTTGACTGTCGTATTTGTGTCTTTGTTTAAGTGAGACTATTTAGATGTTGTTCCTTTATCAACAGCTAAGAGGGATAAACATAACGCAATAACACACTTCATGATGCTTAACTCTCAAGACGACAGCGTCTGCGGTGACAAAGGAAGCAGTGATAAAATAAACTAATCTATGTTGCTGGGAGGGTAGGGAGAGGGGGTGGGAGGAGGGTGGGAGAGGAGGGGAGGAGGGGTGGGGAGGAGGGGTGGGGAGAGAGGAGGAGGGAGAGAGGGTGGGGAGGGAGAGGGGTGGGGAGAGAGAGAGAGAGAGAGGAGGGAGGGTGCGGGAGGGGAGAGGGTGGGGAGGGAGGGGAGGGCGGGTGGGGGAGGGAGAGGGGTGGGGAGAGAGAGAGGGAGGGGGAGGGTTGTGGGGGAGGGAGGGGTGGGGAGAGAGAGAGAGAGAGGGAGAAGGAGATTGGGAGGGGAGAGGGGTGGGGAGAGAGAGAGAGGAGAGGGGTGGGGTGAAGCTTTAGGCGATATCGTTGTTTGAGCTAAAATTAACGAGGGAAGTTTTGACATGGTTCAGAGCGCCATTCTTTCTGTTAAATCCCCAGCACAGTTTGTAACTTAAAAGCGACATCGATCTTTTTTCTTTAACAGTGCCAAAGCTGATGCTAAGTTGGTGGGTTATGAAAGACGTCGTTCTTATTGTATTACGAGAGAGAGAGGACAGCTGCTCCCTGCCTCACCTCGCTCCTGCCTCTGTGTGTGGGGAGAAGTGCTGGAAAAATTACACACGATAGTTTATTTCACCTGAAGATTAGACACCCACGTTTATTTCACAATTTTGTCCTCCGTCTGTGTCACGGATAAAGACAGACAGATATTGGTAGATCGATAAATAGACAGATAGATAGATAGCTAGATAGACAGATAGATATAGATAGATAGATAGATAGACAGATAGATATAGATAGATAGATAGATAGATAGATAGACAGATAGATATTTATACAATGGATTCGTCATGTAAATTTACACTGTTTGAGCATGTACAGAGACACTACAGGTATATAAACAATGTACAGAGACACTACAGTTAGAGAGACAATGATCAGGTATATCAACAGTGATAAGTAATAAGACAACACAACCCGCAGTCCTTAGGAGAGACATTCCTTTACCGCGACCTAACGTACTGTCCTAAGTTTGTTTAAAAAGTAATACAATATAACAGCTTAAGATATTGTACAGCTTGAGAAGAGCTGTCTTGAGCCCTGACCTGTGTGAAGAACGTAGCCGTGTCGTGTAAACAATGGTGGTATGTGGTCAGTCTGTCTCAACTATAACAATATATTCCTTTACGGTTTATAAGGTATGCTGACCTTATGTGACCGATGCTGATCCTGTGTGACCTATGCTGACCCTATGTGGCCTATGCTGAACTTGTGTGACGTTTTCTTACACGTTTTCCAGTGTATAAATTAACTCTTGTGAACTTGGACCAAGACCCAGTGTGTGTGTGTGTGTGTGTGTGTGTGTGTGTGTGCGTGTGTCGAGATATATTCACCAGTCTACAGTATATATATATATATATATATTTAAAAGATCATAACTCATTTTTATCGGCAGCTGGAGTTTAAATTCTGTTTTCTTTTAATCTTGACTATTTTTCTTTACTACACATGACGTCATCACTGAACGAATACCTTAACCTTTTATTACTTTTTATTTTCTCTCAAGGAAATTTATCTCGCTCCAGTTATATTATTTATTGCCCGGGAAAAAAGTTTGTACCGCGTGGAAAGAATTGAGTGTTTTTCTTTCCTAAATGATTAATGCAAGATAGAACTGGCTGGGGAGTTGACGTTGTAATGCAGAGATGTTGACGGTAGAGTAAAGTTATATCTAAATTGAGATAACTTTGATTAACAACTCTGGGGGTTGATCTTACGTCTGGCAAAGTACCACAACAAACAGTACTACTACTACTACTACTACTACTACTACTACTACAACAACAACTACTACTACTACTACTACTACTACTACTACTACTACAACAACTACTACTACTACTGCTACACATGTTAAAACCATAACTACAAGTTTTGAAAGATATATAAAATTCTTTAACTGAAAATTTAACTGAGAGAGACGCCCTTTGTTTATTCCCATCTCTAAATAAACAAGTCCAGGTAATGGCCTCTTGTGGGTCCTTAAGAACTGAGGGTAGAGGAGGGAGGAGGAGGGAGGGAGGGAGGAGGGGGGGAGGAGGAGGAGGGAGGAGGAGGAGGAGGAGGAGGAGGAGTAAATGTCTTCTTCTCTCCTTACTCTTCTTGCCACCAAATCACCATCCCCCCACCCCCCTCACCCTCACCCTCACCCTCATCCTCACCCCCTCACCCTCACAGAAGGTTATTAATTGGTGTTATCTGCCGTAGTTTGGCGTTGTTTGATCAGGGTGCAGGGAGGATCGTGATCGGTGACTGCGTGTGATTGATGATTGGACGAGTGAGTGGCCGTGGACTAGACCCCGATAGTAGTGATTGGAAACGATTGTCCTAGGCCCTTAACCCTTAATCCCCACCGCCTCACCCAACAGCGAGCAGCAGCCCTCCATTCTTATCTACAGGCGTCAAGTCGAGAAAGTAAGTTAAGTGTGATGAAACCAGCACACTATTTTTTTAAGTTATCTAAAAAGAAACGACAAAAAAGAGCTTTAATGTGGAAGTTGAGGACAAAATAATATTCTTTAAAATGGAGAAATGTTCCCGTAGTAAACCAGCTGAGTCAACAGTTTTTATTTCCATAAGTTTTTTTTTTCACAAGTGGTTCGCTCACATTTGGTTTGTTTACATTCACGGTCCCTGACTCCCGGGTCGACGCATGCGCAGTTCTGTGTTTATGTTACGTCTGGCACCTCTTCACCTCACAGTGCCAACACTCTTATGAAAGATGTCTTATGCTAAAACTCTTGATTTTTTGGTAGTTCGGTTAATTAATGTAAACACGGGATATTTTTTTTCTAAGAGTGTTGGACAAAAATATATGTTGTCTATATTTTAAATTATTGCTTTTAAATTTCGTAAAAATGAAAAAAAATAGTTAAAACTTAATCACGAAAACGTACACAAACCCGTCCAGACACACACGCACACACACACACACACACACACACACACACTCATTCCATTACCTAATTATCAACAAACATTAAATTAGTTAAAAAAAATTACAAACAATAATTTCTACTTAAGTCCTGACACCACAATGACCCATAAAGTATAGGATTCACCTGCAGGACTTAAAGGACTTGTACGATATAACAAAGGAATCGCAGGATATAACAAAGGACTCGAAGGATACGACAAAGGAATCGCAGGATATAACAAAGGACTCGCAGGATATGGAACTAACCTTCATATTGTATCCTCCAGGACTCAGCCACTCGAAGAGGAAGACCGTGAGAGCAGCAACTTGGATGGCCACAAACGCCACCAACATCCAGGAGGCCGTGTCGAAGGGTTCTGTAGGGGAGAGGTGAGGTGTTTAGCTGAGAGAGAGAGAGAGAGAGAGAGAGAGAGAGAGAGAGAGAGTATCCTTGAAAAAATAGTGAAAATAGGAAAAACGTGATATGTAATTGGGGAAAAATTGAAAAGGTACAAAGTTGGTTCTCATTTGGGTAGGAAAATCAATAGTTAAAATAGGTAAATTAGATTAATTATGCATCTAATATATATAAAAAATGGATAAACTTAACTTAACATAGTCTTAATAGACCCAAACCTAACCGAACCATTCGTAATGTATAGCATGTAAGTTCCAACAACAACAACAGCAACAACAACAACGACAACAATGAATAACAATGAACTGCTCTACGATAACTTTTTGTTTATTAATTAACAGGAAAAAAATACATTGTTTACAAATTGGTTGACTCGTGTTGTCTGCTTTCAATAAACAACAAGTAATCAAGCATAAACAATTTAACAATGCTGTCCGTGGTTTTCTTTTAACACTGCCCATTGTGAAAGGAGAAACGTGAACCATGTTAGAATTTTATTTCCACCCAAATATGTCGTACATTCCTAAGCACACAACACACACACACACACACACACACACACACACACACACACACACACACACACACACACACACACACACACACACACACACACACATATCTGGCCTCAGAACTACCCGGCATTTCTTTTCTAACTGAGAACATTAAAGTCAACCATTACTAAAAAAATCAACACATGAATCTACCCGGAAAATTATATACACAGAATACCAAACCCAAGGATGGTATTTTCTCGCCCTTTTTAAAATTTAACAACAACGGTCATTTACAAACCAACAAAATGACATGGAAATCTTATTATCCCTCTCGACATGATGCAAATTGGATTAAAAATAAATTTCCTCAGAGAAAACACTTAACAAAGCCAGAAGAACACTTGTACAATGAGAGTCACATTGATCCTTGAGCTACGAACTAACAGTGTTTGTAAACATAGTGATTCATCAGGAGGGGGCGGTCGGTCAGATGGGCAGTCAGATGGGGGGAACGGTCAGATCAGATGGGGGGCATTCAGATGAGAGGGCAGTCAGATGAGGGCAATGTCAGATAGGGGTCAGATGGGGGGCGTCAGATGGGCCAGATGCAGTCAGATGGGGGCGGTCAGATGGGGCGGTCAGATGGGGAGGCAGTCAGATGGGGGCGGTCAGATGGAAGGTCAGATGGGGGGCGGTCAGATGGGGGCAGGTCAGATGGGGGGCAGTCAGATGTGGGGGGCCAACTCTTGCACTTGAATTTCCAGCTTAAATCATCCTGAAACATGCACGGCTAAATCAGCTTTATATAACAAACTCGTATTTCGTAATTAGTTCGATATAACCAACCCGTATTTATGTCGATATATCCTACCGTATTTAAATAAATATGTTTTATTTCAATTCGCGTTTTTTTGAAGTGTATCAATATAGCATTAATAAATTTACAATATAAAAGTTAATTTCGTTTCCCGGTGAGAATTTGACGAATATTTTAGGATCCTTTAAATATAGGACAGGTGTTAATGACAGGTGTACTGATTAACCCTTTAAATTGACGACAGGCCATGGATCACTTTAGATAGGTCATGGAACACCTTAGACAAGCCAAGGAACACCTTAGACAGGCCATGGAACAGTTTAGACAGGCTATGGAGCATCTTAGACAGACCATGGAACACTTTAAATAGGCCATGGAATATTTCAAGCCACAGATCATTTTAGACAGCCCCCGGAACATTTTAGACAGCCCACGGAACACCTTAAACAGGCCACGGAACACGGTACATCCCCTTAAGGACATTGATCATCGTAAAATCATAATAACTCACCAAATTCACCGCCTGAACGTAATTAATGACAAAGGAACGTCGATATTAATGACATCTGGGTTAAAAATGAACGATATCGCTAAAGTTGGGAGAAAAATGAACGATACCGCTAAAATTGGGAGAAAAACTGAACGATATCTCTTAAATTGGGTGAAAAATGAACGATATAGCTAAAATTGGGAGAAAAATGAACGATATCGCTAAAACTGGTAGAAAAATGAACGATATCGCTAAAACTGGTAGAAAAATGAACGATATCGCTAAAACTGGTAGAAAAATAAACGATATCGCTAAAATTGGGAGAAAACTGAACGATATCGCTAAAACTGGTAGAAAAATGAACGATATCGCTAAAACTGGTAGAAAAATGAACGATATCGCTAAAACTGGTAGAAAAATAAACGATATCTCTAAAATTGGGAGAAAAACGAATATAAAAGTGGGATATTGACTTTGAGAATTATGAGAAAAATTGAGATTATTATTTTATCCTTTGAGTGATAATGACGTGAAGTAATTTGTAATACGTCTTACTATTCGTCTATGATCACTAATACACACTCATTATCTCATGCACTTACGGTCAATAACACACTTAGGTTAGTTAATACACTCATAACACACCTTACTTATACAGAGAGATATACACACATACCTATCACTTACAAACATACACCCCACATACACACACACACACACACACATACACACACACCCTACACCCCCAACACACACTCAACACACCCCAACACACCCTACACCCACACAAACACCCCCAACACACACTCAACACACCCTACACCCACACACCCAACACACATCCACACCCCAACACACCTCACCCACAACACCTAACACACACAACACACCCTACACCCCCACAAACACCAACACAACACCCCAACACACCCTACACCCCCACAAACACACCCAACACACCCCAACACACCCAACACACCCCTATAAGCATGAAAGATTATGTTACATGAATTATATAGACGCCTGGGGATGATATACTACAGGGTTATAATTAGCCAGACCTGAGCACTTTGAGGTTGGTTCAGGTAATTAAGGCGAAGGTCCAGGTGGGGGATACACCTAAATGAGTCTATATCCTTGTTATCACCCTTGTTGTTATCACCCTTGTTGTTATCACCCTTGTTGTTATCACCCTTGTTGTTATCACCATTATCTCTTGTTATCACCCTTTATTGTTAACACCCTTCTTCCTTGTTATCTCCTTTCACCCAAGACAGACACATCTGTTAATAGCTCATACGCTGCCTCTCTCTCTCTCTCTCTCTCTCTCTCTCTCTCATACTCTTACCAGCAGTCTCAGTAATATCGATGCCATACTAGCCATCATGTTAGTGCCCCGCAGCCAACACGGAGTCTCACGTCACCACTTGAGGATAAACATTTTAAGGTGAGCATCTTTAAGAATCAGTACCGGAGAGTGTAAGGCTTTTTTGGGGGAACTTTTTAGCCCAAACTTTGAGCTTGGGGACGCGAACTGTGTTGAATATATACACAAGTGGCAGAGCGGATAGGAGGCGGATAGAAAAATGGATAAAAAACATGAAAGGGGAATAAAATTTGGTGATAGTTTAACCCTGAGTACTTTAACGTGGCAACTCTACGTGAATGAGAATGTAAACAAAGACTACATAAATTATTCATAAAATTGATCTAAGCACATTTCAGTAATTTACGATTATATTCCCCATTATATAACTTAGTATGTATAACTGTGAAGATATTTAGTCTACATTTCAACTATAAATAAAAGGGAAATAACTTGAGCACGTGTAAAACACTCCCCCTTGAGCGAGTGTACACAAGCAAAACAAATGAACAACGGAGAGCATACACAGTGTAGAGAGGGTCGGTTGTACAAGTCTCAACTCAACTTAGATATATAAGTTTTTTGACGTTTGATGTACAGTACCACACCGCCTCCCCACCACTACCGACCAGGCATTGTCTTACCGGGCCCTCACAACACGGCTTTGATTTCAGTTTGTCTCGTGAGCTTGAATACTGAAGCGTGTGGTTGGCGTGTCCCCCAGTCGACTGTTAATAGGATCAGAACCCTCTTGTTGTTGTTGACATGTGTGTGTGTGTGTGTGTGTTAAAGCACTTATACCTTCCCTCCTGTCGTGATCTCTGACGCAATTTATTCAAGACACAGCGGCCAGAGTTCCCCCAAGACCTCAACCAAACACATTACCTGTATCCCTTACCTGTAGATGTGCAGGTGTGTATGACCGTAATTAACTGAGTCATAATACAGTATATATGTATTGCATTATGGTAATATTAGTCCCAGTTTATATGACCTGATGATTAAACGACTTAACACTACCTGGGTGTGGTTATGTTAGGGTAGGTTAGGTTAGGGTAGGTTAGGTTAGGGTAGGTTAGGTTAGTGTTAGGTTAGATTAGTGTTAGGTTATGTTAGGGTAGGTTAGATTAGTGTTAGGTTATGTTAGGGTAGGTTAGATTAGTGTTAGGTTAGATTAGTGTTAGGCTAGATTCCGTTTGAGACCCATTAGGACTGGGGGCCATTAGGACTGGGGCCCATTAAGACTGGGGCCATTAGGACTGGGGCCCATTAAGACTGGGGCCCATTAAGACTGGGGCCCATTGAGACTGGGGCCCATTAGGTTTGAATTAGATTTTGATCACTTGTGCCCAAAAAGTATAAATGGTTCCTGATTCACTTATTTAGGTTCTTATTTACAGACACGGATGACAGACACACGGATGACAGACACACGGATGACAGACACACGGATGACAGACACACGGATGACAGACACACGGATGACAGACACACGGATGACAGACACACAGATGACAGACACACGGATGACAGACACACGGATGACAGACACACGGATGACAGACACACGGATGACAGACACACGGATGACAGACACACGGATGACAGACACACGGATGACAGACACACAGATATATTCTCAAAGGTTCCTACGTTAATTTTCCACCACTACTTTCTCACACACACGACAGGCAGTGTGGACCTAGCACACTGTGTACTGAGTCTCCGGTAAACAAGGAATCAATATGGCCGGCACTGCAATCAACAGCCTTCACTTCCCCAGCTGTAAAATAAGATAGCGATTTATTTTCCTCTGAGGGGGAAGGGGGATAGAACCAGGGCCCCTATTAGAACAAGAGACGAACACTGTATCCACTCGCCCACCGCACCACAAACATCCAGCTCAGAGACATTAAATAATCAATCAATATTCTATTTATTTCCTATTAAAAAAATAATGAATAATTAAGTCTAAATGCAATTAAAGAAAACATCAGTGAGGGTGGAGGGGGTAACTACGTCATATGATAATCTCCTACACTCCTGTCGCACCCTAGACCCTCGATGGCGTCTTCATGTTCGTCTGACAGCCAATTTGTGTCTAACTTTGATGTCTTGGGTCCCTGGGGCGCCTGTGGACATTTTTTCCTCTTCACGCCTCGTCCTTGACACGCCCTCACAAGTCATATTAACTTTTTTATTTATATTTTTTTTATTAAGTCTTTTTCATTTCCTTATTCCGCTTCCACCATCTTTTAAGAGAGAGAGAGGTTGCTCCTTAGTGCGTCTGTGCGGTACGATAATTTGGGACGGCCGCCGGCAGTGATCCTCATATACTAAGGGTGGCGGGCGTATGAGGTAACTGTACCTTATCACCTTCACTCCCTCTTATCTGTAACACTGTAGGGGCAATAGGTACAGGTACACATATAGGTACCGGTACACACTTTAATAACAGCCATGACAGCGGGATAAGCAGGACCTCGTGTGTGTCACCGGAACTCGAACACGGAATATATCCCCGAGCGTATTCAACCCCTTGGTATAAATAAAAGGATTGTTCCATATCGCCATTTTTAAGCCGATTAAAAACATATGTGACATGTAACGTAGTAGCAGAGAGTACTAGAGACCTTTATACACCGTGTCCAATATACAGTACACGACATACAAATAGTATACTGAATACACTGACGCTCTGTTTGGTCATGCTAATTGAAGTTTATATCTCGCCTGCCCAAACGATACTACTGTGCGTCTCGGATTCGGACCCACAGTGCCTAGGATTCAAACCCACAGTGCCTAGGATTCGAACCCACAGTGCCTAGGATAACAAGCGTGGGTGCCATCAACAGGAAACGACATGACTGGCCAAACGACTCTACCTGAACACTAAATGAGCCTTCGTCATTAATGAGGTCTGGTTACCTGAAGATTAGGACCTCCAGCTTAATTCACCTGATGTGTCATGTCAACTCACGTCATTGTTTGTGTGTTTGTCATGTCAATTGTAACACCTTCATCTGAGAGAGAGAGAGAGAGATAAGTGATAAATACTTCAACTTTCATCATCACGGAACATTTTAATTAAAGTACCGAATGATGAGGTGGTGTGATTTGTCTCCTCCTCCTCCCCCTCCTTCTTCCTTCTTCCTTCTTCTCTAAATTCTCCTCCTCCGTCTCCTCTTCTTCTCCTCTTTCTCTATCACCAATCGCTCATCCTTCCTATTTATTAATACCACTACCCTCTATTTTCTCCTCCTTCTCCTCCTACGCTTTCTAATTCCTCTTTCGCCTCTTCCTCTTCCCTCTCCAACGTCAACCCCTCCTCCTCTCCTTCCTCTCCTCTTCCTCCTTCCTTTCCTTCACCTCTCTCCTCCTCCTCCTCCTCCTCTTCCTTCCTCTCCTCTTCCCTCCTTCCTTTCTTCACCTCTCCTCCTCCTCCTCCTCTCCTTCCCTCTCCTCTTCCTCCTTCCCCTTTCCTTCACCCCTCCTCTCCTCCTCTCCTCTTCCTCCTCCTTCCTTTCCTTCCCTCTCTCCTCTTCCTCCTTCCTTTCCTTCACCCCTCTCCTCCTCCTCCTCCTCTCCTTCCCCTCCTCTCTTCCCTCCTTCCTTTTCCCTTCCTCTCCTCTTCCTCCTTCCTTTCCTTCACCTCTCTCCTCCTCCTCCTCCTCCTCTTCCTTCACCTTTAAACTTTTTCACTAATAGAAAAATTTAAAACTAATTATGAATTTAATAAGATGTGAGATGCATACTATATACATATACCGTATGATGTATGTTGTATGTTGTGCATGTTGTATGTTGTGTATGGTGTATGTTGTGTATGGTGTATGTTGTGTATGTTGTATGTTGTGTATGGTGTATGTTGTGTATGTTGTATGTTGTGTATGGTGTATGTTGTGTATGGTGTATGTTGTGTATGTTGTATGTTGTGTATGGTGTATGTTGTGTATGTTGTATGTTGTGTATGGTGTATGTTGTGTATGTTGTATGTTGTGTATGGTGTATGTTGTGTATGTTGTATGTTGTGTATGGTGTATGTTGTGTATGGTGTATGTTGTGTATAAGGTGTATGTTGTGTATGGTGTATGTTGTGTATAATTGTATGTTGTGTATGATGTATGTTTATAATTGTATGTTGTGTATGGTGTATGTTGTGTATGATGTGTTTTATGGTGTATGTTGTATATGGTGTATGTTTTATAGTGTATGTTGTGTATAATTGTATGTTGTGTATATGTTGTATGTTGTGTATATTTGTATGTTGTGTATAGTGTATGTTGTGTATAGTGTATGTTGTGTGTGAATTGTATGTGTTGTGTATAGTGTATATATGTATGTTGTTATGTTATTATTATGGTGTATGTTGTGTATATTTGTGTGTGTATAGTGTATATTTATTGTATAATTATGTTATTATTATGATGTATGTTTTATAGTGTATGTTGTGTATAATTGTATATTGTGTATAATTATTATGTTGCGTATAATTATTATGTTATTATTATAATTATTATGTTGTGTATAATTATTATGTTGTGTATGGTGTATATTGTGTATGGTGTATGTTGTGTATAGTGTATGTTGTGTATGGTGTATGTTGTGTATGATGTATGTTTTATGGTGTATGTTGTGTATGGTTATATGTTGTGTATGGTGTATGTTGTGTATGGTGTATGTTTTATGGTGTATGTTTTATGGTATATGTTGTGTATGGTGTATGTTGTATATGGTGTATGTTGTGTATGGTGTATGTTTTATGGTGTATGTTTTATGGTGTATGTTGTGTATGGTGTATGTTTTATGGTGCATGTTGTGTATGGTGTATGTTGTATATGGTGTATGTTGTGTATGGTGTATGTTGTGTATGTTGTATGTTGTGTATGGTGTATGTTGTGTATGGTGTATGTTTTATGGTGTATGTTTTATGGTGTATGTTTTATGGTGTATGTTGTGTATGGTGTATGTGTGTATGTTGTATGTTGTGTATGGTGTATATTTGTGTATGGTGTATGTTGTGTATGTTGTATGTTGTGTATGGTGTATGTTGTGTATGGTGTATGTTGTGTATAGTGTATGTTGTGTATGATGTATGTTTTATGGTGTATGTTGTGTATGGTGTATTTTGTGTATGATGTATGTTGTGTATGGTGTATGTTGTGTATGGTATGTTGTGTATGTGTATGTTGTGTATGGTGTATGTTGTGTATGATGTATGTTTATGGTGTATGTTGTGTATGGTGTGTATGTTGTGTATGATGTATGTTGTGTATGGTGTATATTTGTGTATGGTGTATGTTGTGTATGGTGTATGTTTGTGTATGGTGTATGTTGTGTATGATGTATGTTTTATGGTGTATGTTGTGTATGGTGTATGTTTTATGGTGTATGTTGTGTATGGTGTATGTTGTGTATGTTGTTTGTTGTGTATGGTGTATGTTGTGTATGGTGTATGTTTTATGGTGTATGTTTTATGGTGTATGTTGTGTATAATTGTATGTTTTATGGTGTATGTTTGTATGGTGTATGTTTTATGGTGTATGTTGTGTATGGTGTATGTTGTAGGGTTATGTATAATGTAATGACAATAAAGAGATGATTGTCCCAAAGGTTTACAATACACATCACTCAGAACATCTAGTCTAGTCTCCCCTTGTGTTGTTTATTCCCGTTTTCTGTTGAGTTTTATATCAAATTACCCTAAACGCTTGTTGTCGAATCACACACACACACACACACACACACACACACACACACACACACACACACACACACACACAGACAAAAGACTC